ATTCCTGCTCTCAAAATAGCTTAGAGGAGAATTGAGACTGCTCTAGATCATTTTTCAGATCTGGAAGGATGTTTATTGTCTTACCAATAGAGTAAAGACAAAACTAATTAATTTGTGGACCTGTGTTACACTCAAGGGCCACATTCCACATCTTACAACAAATTTATACAACAATACTAAATCATATTGGCTTGCATGTCTGTACACAGGGACAAAATTTCACCACCTCTGCCTTTCATTCGATTTAATTAGTTTTTGCAATGTTTTTCATATGGGTAGACTTCTGGTATACATTTGCTAAGCCAAACAATACAGAAATTGCAGTCCAATATAGAATTTCCATCATTTTGTGAAACGATGCAAGTAATAAAGAGTCCCAATTCCTTTACTAATACGATAACAGTCTGTGTTATAAAAATACTAGACCATTGAAATATAGTTTACAGGTGTAAAGTTTTTTTTTCTTTAACATATCATTTGTTGTGCAATCCATCTTTCTTCCTTTAAGTGTTTACAGAACCTTAAACTTTTTGAACTGATTTCCTTTTTGTTCATTTGGTGCCAAAAAGAACATAAAAGATTTCATATGAGATTACATCGCTAAAACCAAAAGGAAAATATTAGGGATAAATATAATATTTTGAGGTTTCTTAGTTTGTTTTACCTCTAATACTGGCCAGACTGCACAAATCATTTTGTTGTAAAGTAACACCTAATGAGTCAAATGTGTGCAGTGTCACCAGCAATCATGTTCATTTGTGTTTGACTGACCAAACATTTACAGCACATTAAATCACTTTCTAATCACATTATGAAGGACGAGGAACAAACACACATTTCAAGTTTTCTTTAAAAAATACAGAAGTTTCAGTACATTTTCCTGGCAGTCTCCTAACTTCAGGGAGACTCCACTAATAACATTTGCCCAAGGAATTTATGAAGGTCTAACAGTACTTAAATTCAGTGCTCTAAATGAAAAGAGGTGGAAGTTCTTTTAGGGAATTGGACATCTTTTTTTTTCAAGAGAGTCCTCTCTAACAATTCCAATTAATGTAGTTGCTCTCCTACAATACACTGTTGATTCACAGTCACCACTAAGTAATAGTTTTCTCTTTCAAATACAGTTCTTAGAGTGAGACAACTTGGAGAAAGAACATCCTTTCAGCTAAATAAACAAACCAACCTTTTTTTGTCACCAATTGAGTTGGATTCTCATGAAGAAATATGTCTCAGTTGTTCTACATTTATTTTGCTTTAAATTTCAATATTCTCAGAGATCTTTGGAAATGATGACATGCATCTTACTTGCCTGGACAATTCATTCCTAGTTAAGTGGTAGACATCTTTTCAACTAGTATTAACAGAGTCTTGCATTCTCCTAATGCACTATTTTACAGCATTTTTTCTCTCAGTGCCATCTGAAGTAACACAAGTTAAGAGTTAAGCTATGTCCACATACTATTCTGTTTATAACTGTATATAATCACAGATACAAAAGCAAAACTGGCATTGATAAATTCCTCCAGATCAAATTCATTGATATTTTTATGCTTATTCTGTGTATATAGAAATACTCATATGCAATCTGAATAGTGCCTTGCAAAGCTGAGCCTTCAGCTTAAAACTGTTCATCAGTGAGATAGTCCAATCCGTCACTGTACTGAAATTATGATAAGAATATCTTATAAAATAAGAACATACAGGATTGAAGGCAGGTAAGATAAGGGCATAAGTGGTTAGATATATTTTCTGGAAAGATGCTATCTTTACATTTGCAGTTTTTGACTTGTCTAAACGCTTTAACTACAAATCCAGGCCATAAATGTGTGTGTGTCTACTACAGCTCTCCCATAGTCAGACATTTGTACACTTTATCACTTTCTGCATCTCTCAATGTTCTCACTGTAAGTTTAAATTCAGTATTAAAATAACTTGGATTAAGATTAGGGCTTCTGAAGATAGCCATATATTTGGATGTCCTTGAGAAAAAACTGATCCCTTCTGATTTTGGAAAGACAGAAGTTGAGCAAAAGTTTCATGCCGACTTCCGATGTCAAGAGCAAGTTCATAGAGCAGGTTGCCTCAGTTTGGATACATTAGTGTGACTGTTACAAATGTTTGAGACTCCTGAGAGTCTTGGGTTACCACATCAGGCAAGAGTGAGGGAGACCAAAATGATCGGCAAGAAGAATGACATTCATAAGAGATAAAGTTTTTTTCTTGAGGAATAGACACAATTAATACCAAAGTGACCATATGCTGAGTCATAGACAATTCCCAAGTTTGGCTTTACTGAAGTAAAACTGTTGAGGTTTTTTTCAGAACATGAATAAAGATGCAAACGTCATAACTGCAGACAGTATTGATTCCATATGAAAAACTGGTATTTTTTTTACTGTATGTAAATCTGGACTATTTTTGAGACAAAGGAATCTGCTGTCTCCAAAGGATACCTTAATAAGATTTTCAGGGCATCATAAGAAGTAATAAAGACTCACTGTCCTGCACTGACAAGTGCACCTCTATGAGAATAGTCCCCGCTTTCTCATCTGAGGACACTAGGCCCTTTTTTTTTTTTGCTGACTTGCACAATGGACTTGAAGTGGACCACGACCTACTTTATACTCCAGTGTTTCCTGTCCCATTAATAACACTCATGGGATTGGAAACTGACCATCCTTTATGTTTGGAATGAGTGTCCCAGAAAGGCATGAGGAAGGAAGCACTGACTGCTGAAATCAAGGTCTTGGTTCAGTGAATTAGTACAGCTGCCATAGAAGTCTAGGAAGAACTGGGTTAAAATTTTATCATGTAAGTCCAAAAGAACTCTTTGACTGAGGAGAAACAAATACATGAATGATGGTGTAGGAAGTTCAGGCTTCAGTTCCAATACATGTTCCTTATTTACTCTCACAGTCAGAGGTCCACTAGCCACTTGATGTAAAAGACCAAAATGATCAGTCTTTTTTTCTGGGCACTTTGTTGCTACATGGGACATAGAGAAATCATATTTTTGTTTTCGAAGCAGGGGCTTTTCTCATAGATAAACACATGATTTGTCTAAAACAAAGCAAAACACAAAACACCAGAAATATCTTCCTAGACATGGATGATGCTTTGAAAAGTCATTTAAAGCCCAAATACTTGCTGAATAAAAATAAAAACGTAACTTGACAGAACCCGGCTTGTTGCCCAATTTGCAGCAGAGAACTTTTGTATGGAAGTGTGCACTGGGGTTTTTTTGTCTTACAAAAATCTGTTAATGTGTTCCTATCTGGTTCATATTTGAGTCATGTTCTCTACTCAGCTCTCTGACAGAGTGAATTGCAGACTAATACATTCTAATGAAACAAGACATTACCTTTATGAATGACCTCATAGAGAAGAGGTTGGCTAACATTGTTGAAAGGCCTGGTGCCAGGCAGCTCTGGGCTATGAAACCCAGCTTGAGCTCAGCAAGACAGATTGCATCATCCCCTTCTTTCCAGTTCCAGCTTGGGATATTTAGCAGATGGGCCTGGAAAACAAACAAACAAACAAAATACCCCATAGGTGAAGAACTTCCTAAAATACAGTACAGTATTGAAGGAGATAGCAGTGAATTATTTTCTTTGTTACTGGTTTGACTTTTTCTGACTAGACAGAAGCACTCCAAGTATTTGAGAGTTTAATTCTATGCTAGGAAGTGTTCCAATCTTACCTATTATAGACAAAATCTTACATTTCTCAAGCCCTGTTCTGGCTGTGACACTCTGCCAGGCCCATCCTCACACCTGAACAAACCACAGAATGTTGTAAAGTTTTTCTTCCCTTCTATACATTCCTTTTACAGCACTTTGAGCTACTCTCTGACTGATAAGGTACATACATAATACATAGGAAACTAATATGACTTAGATTACAACTTGTGTGAAGCTGCAACCTTTATAGGACATTGTCATTTAATAAGGTATACAACATCTTCTGTCTTTTCTATTTCATTCCTTCCACCCTGAAGGATAGCACTTGACTTAGGAAAAGGTTTGGATTTTCACTAAGACTGCTATTTATAAGGATATAATAAAGAAAATAGCTGATCAAGACACACTTCCAGTATTGACACTGTTCAGTTAAATATGTATTGATATTGTTCAGTTATTGGCATAACTCTATTGAATTCTCTCTTCCATCTATCTTGTACATTTGCATAGACATATGGAAACAGAGGCCTTCATGCTTGTTTCCCTTCATACGTCAATATCACAGTTCAGCACTTTGACAACAGCTATTCTTAAGGACATATTCATTGGAAATACAAAGGAAAAATGCAGTATTTAAAAGTTCTTCCCCTCTGAACCTGTTTAAAGCAGAGAAAGACCTTGCTTTAATTATATAAAAAGATAGACTTCTTCAATTCATGTACAGGAAGACAACCTCATAAACAACAGTAATTGCTCATGTCCTAGCCAAAGGTTACAGGTATAAAGAATTGTTAGCAGTCAAATCTTCTAAGTACCAGGATTATTGTGTATTTCATTGAATGAAGGTCTACCCAGCCAAGTTTGTTGTCTAACACTGGGCAGTGGTTGATGCTTTTAGAAATAATAAAAGCAGCAGGTCACATATGAGTAGTCTGTCCACTGATGTATTCTTCCTAGCCCTGTTAATCAGCAGATTATAGACTTCCTCATGTCAGGATTGAATGAACTGACTTCATCGTGTTTAAAGGCCACAGATTTACCATCAAAAATTTGCCAAATTCCTTTTGAAAGTGGATTTATAATTTTGATCTGCACAATATTTTTAGCAACAAATTCCGCAATTAAATTATGTTTTATATGAAAAAAAACTTAATTTTATTTATTTTGTACTTGCTACTTGGCAATTTCAGGTCTACATTGTCATGTAAGAAACAAAAAAATCACTATAAATCTCCAATAAGACAATAATTCTCTGCTTTTTCTTTTTAAGTATCCAAAAGGACCAACTTCAGACAACTTGCCTAGAGGCCATCAATTCACCTTGGGTAGCTCTAGTGTAATAAGCTGCGTAAAACTTATAGAAGCTGAGTGGTTAAAAGCTCATATGAAATCAGTAGCAACTATGGACACTGTAGCTTTGAGAATTATACTCTAGGCAACTAATAAATGTCGAGATTTTGATAAGGTCCCTTGCACATATAAACAAAACTGAATTGCCTTGTAACTGGATTACAAGGCTCATTAGGATGTTTTTGTCTGGAAAGAAAAATGTTTACTATTCATGGAGCTAGAAAAATTGTGTATGAGTGAATGCAATGTAGCAAAAAAACTCTTGTTTGTTGTCACGTTACCTTATTGTGATACTGCAACATCTGAGTGATAATTCTTATCTTCGGATGATAATTCTTTATTGAAATAACTCTAAAAATAAAAGACAAAACAATTAAAATAACTTTTAGCTGGTGGGATATTTGGATAATGTGTCCCAATATCTCTGCCTTACTCTGCTGTCAAGTCCCACAACTAAAACTGTACCCTTATTCATCTGGCTGTAAAGTATACTCATTGAAGTCAGACCTACACAGTATTTACATCTAGTCTAATTCAGTTAATAAACATTGGCTAATACTACAGAACATCAAACTTCAGGAAATATTCAATTGAATGGTTTGCCGTTATGGAATTTGCAGAGAGACTTGTTTAGCAGCTCCACTCAGATACTGTACTCATTCTGTTAAGCAAATAATACACTTGCAATTATTATGTCATCTTCAGTGACTATCTTCATGTCTTTGAATCAACATAATTGATCAAGTTTTCCAATGATAAATGTCTGAAAAGAATCCTTTTCTTTCTGCACCACTACATATTATTTATTTATGATTGCTAGACATTCAGCGTATTTAAACCCCTTGAATAATTATTTCATTTGACACAAACCCACATGCAAATTCATCCTAATTTTTATGGATTATTCCAAAGGTCAATATTGAAACTGATATCTGAACGCTGAATTTACAAAATATTGGGGTACTTCTATAATCTGCAGCTTGCCTGCATTCTTAATTATTTAATAAGCCTAAGATATACTTAACTGTGTACAGATTAAAAGTAGCTGGAAAGATCTGTGAAAAATGAGTGGATCAATAACATGTTATGAAGAGAGAAATATACAACCCAAAAATGAAAAAAGTATTGAGCAAAATTAAAGAGAGAAAAATGCCAAAAAAATCAGATCCGTACATACAAACTGAAGGCAGAAAAAGAAGATAAAATAATCAAAACAAAAAATAATCTGAATTATTATGGAATCATCAGTCTCATAAGACTCTGAATGCCATAACTATTTACGCTGGTGTTTGGTAGGAAGTATCTTGCGAACTGCTGGTCTGGCTCATGCTTTGAAGTATGTCAAAACTAGAGCATGCAACAGATAAATAAGGTTATATGCATGATGTTAATTTATGTTATCTTTTGGAAAGAGAAAACAAGTCTTCCTTCTAATTTTCCATCTCTTGCTGAATTATTTAATTAAACATTGAATTTTGTTGAATTAAATTCATTTAAATGTGAGAAAACACAACAGAATTCCACTCTCAAAATAACACTTTTTTGAGTTTTACTAGATTAAATGTATTAAATCTGTTAAGAATGCACTAATCTGCAACTGGAATATTTTTAATGCAATTAATGTCAAAATAAAAGTTTCTCTCATTGCAACTCAAAAGTATGTTTGGAAAATTAAATTAGGTATATTTAAGCCCTGCACCTTCCACAGACAGCCACATCTCTTGAACAGAGTGAACTTTTTCTGGAGGAGCAATTTTATTAATTTTTTTTAATTTCTCCCCTTCCTTTAATTCACAGCATGCAAACATTTGACAGGCCAGTAAAATTGGTTCATAACACTGGCCAATTCTATGTTAGAGAATTGTTAACAAATCATTGGCATTTTAATTTTAAAAAGGAGAGACTAGTCTCGTTAAAACTAGGTTTGTAGGAGTAAAACATAAAAAATTGAATGGCTTATGTTTGTTGGAACTCTAGCTGCCATCTACTGACTGACTCTTTCATCATCTTCTTTCACAGAATATAAGGAGGAAAGCAAGACAAAATCTGGTGGTCCCTAATGTGATAAGTGCCTTGTCAATCAAAATAAGCAACGTCTGGTCTTCAGTGTAAAAAAGGAGGATGGAACTAGGAGACCACTGTATCTTTATCATCATGAAATGTATATACCTTGCTATCCCTGAGCAGCGCAATTACTTGTAGGAACAGATATACCAAGGAGGAAGGAGGTATAAGGTGACTAAGCGTTCTTCTGTTCCATCGTTAACAATTCACATAACATACTGTTGCAACAATGTAACTGCATTCTCTTTCCCCTCATTTCTATTGGGACTGCATTCAGCTATGAATACTTAAACCCTAGGTCCTGCAACATCACTAAGAGTACCAAAGCTTGTGCTCCAAGTGTCCCTTCTGACATTCTTTCTAAAGCAGCTAAATTAAAACTGTTTACATAGGAATTTAGGGTATCCTCATCTCTGAACTTTTGAGAAAATCTTGTTATTTGTTCCCTAAAAAACCAAAAATCCTGCAGTGTTCAAGTGCAACAGATCAGCAATAAAGTCGTGTGTGGTTATAGTCTATCTGGACACCAGAAGCTACTTAATCAGAGTCAAGAACCAAAAATCTACTAAAAACTAATGAGTTTACCTCATAATATTGGAGGCATCTTCAGCATCTGGGTCAGCGCAGTATTTATTGGCAAGGATTAGGCACGCATCTGCTGACTCTATCTGAGACACCAAAGAGAAAGCAAACATAAATAGCAACATCTTTTTCCAGATATTCTTTCATCACAAAGTATTAGAGAATCCAACACTGCCATGATGACTGCAAATGTCAGTTCTTAATACTGCTAATCAAAAATGTTACAAGGCTAACTGGAGTTAACGTGAGTGATTATAACAGCTCTCATACACACACAGCAATTTCTTGAAACTTGCTTACGATGCTCAGACCAGGTCAGCAGTTCAATTATTGACTCCTACTTTGTATCATCTGAGGCATGAAGGTGTTAATGGACATATCTTTTGTAACCAGATGCTGAAATGTAGACCTCTACATCCATAGGAATTTCCTGTTATATCAGTACAGTGCTCCCACAACTCCTGCAGCTTTGTTTAGGAATTTAAGTACCTTCCTATTAGAGACAGGAAGAGTGGCTGAACTGATGATTTAGAATCTGAGTACCAGTTTTAGAAAGCAAGAGGAGAACTGATCTGTTCACAGGACTTCTATGTTCACACAAATCTTAGCTCTATTTAACTCAAAGCAGATAACAGAAGTATTTTTCAGTGTATACAACCAAATATCAACACAAAGAAGGGCGGAATACAGAACACAAAATACCAACACACAATTTTATAGTCATAATTGGAACATCTTGTTCTGATGAACTGAAACAGTGTGCGTTGGGTTACAAAAGGTTAAGCAATTTCTACAGCCAAAATGGACAAAAGACGTGATTAGTACTCCATAAAGTGTTAACATGACAGCTTGCCATCTTTTTTTTATTCATTTAAGCTTCATGCTTTGCTTTAAGAGTACAAAATAATTTACTGTAAAGAATTCTAGACAATAAAACCATCTCATTTTAGCTACCAAAAAATCTTAAATTGTTTTTTTTCCAGGATTCTAGACAATAGAAAAGGGGTTTGACAGGTGAAAAATTATTTTCTAATCATTCTGATGAAGGTAAGACAATAGCATTTTAAGCAATTACTGTAAGACAATGTTCTATTATATCAAACATTAATGTAAAATAGACTCTTGAACTAAACCCCAATGAAAAATTCATAAAGAGTTCAATGGAATGGCAGACAATGTATCTTAAGCCACAGTGTTACTGTGGCTTTGAAGATCTAAAGATACAGGGAAAATAAGGCTTATAAGGATAGATACTATAATTTATTAGGCAAGATAATAGAGATGGAAAAATAATCTTTTGGGGTTACATGAAGAAGAGCTTTACTGTTTTTTTCCAAATAACACTATGAGTACTTTAAAAAAAGTCAATTAGTAGGAGAACAGAACAGAGCTGTTACCTTCACTCTCGCCAGGTCATGGGGATTAAGGACTGAACCCTGATAAAATTCCACCTGAGTGAAGTGTCGTTTAAAAAGAGCTTCCAGCTCAAGGTTAGGGGAGATACTGCATTGGGAAGAGAAAGACAATACAAGAGCAAATGAGAAGTCAGTTTCCATAACTGCCCCATTTCCTTCATTTACAAACCAACCCATTTATTCATTTTAGGTGTTCAGACTTCTGCTGATGCCTTTCCTGTGGTGTGGAAACAGTCTGAAGTACTTAAAAGACAAATACTATACTGCTTTTACTTCCTTCTGTCTACAGTGCTTCTGGTCCACTTCATTGTGCTACTCTGCACGTTCATCATTTATCAGCTTCTCACAGACATGGATCCAGAAGAATTGGTGCAAACATTTGAAAACATCCTCACACAACATTCTCCACAGAAATTATCTAGTAAGACAATCATCCTCTGCACATCCCCAACATTCTCAAAAGAGCCAATTGCATCAAAAAAGAGAGCTCAACGCAAAATTACCAAAAGCCAGAAAAGGAACCCTATAGGGACCCTGTGGCCTGTATGCGCTACAATTAAAACAAACATAATTATGCTGTGACTTTCCATCTCATTTCATTTTGCCACAAAAAAAAAAAAAAAAATTAAGTGGATCGCAATCTATTATATAATGTGGCATCAATATTGTAAATACCTTTTTAGTTGCCACTAGTTAAAACAGAAGGGATTTAATAGCTACATAGTAAGTGCATGAGATCTTTGTCATGCCAGATGCTAAATTTAATAAGAAAATAAAACAGATACATGCAAATATTTGTCTGTGAAGGTACAGAAGAAAGCAGGCACAAACAAGTAGCCAGCTGCTAAACTCCCTTCAAGTCCATATGCAGTTTCCTGATTCCTACCACCATGCATTTTCACTGTGGAAATCTGGATCTCCACTTTCCTCTCACAGTCAATTCTTGTTATTATTTTGAGGGGGGGAACAAGCAAACAAACAATGTAGTTACTTGAGGATATCATCTCTAGTTCAATTTGAAAGGACCAGATAAAAAAATTGTGCAAGTGCTGCCGATTCTTAGTGTTTCAGCTTCCGTTGTTGAATCATCACAAATGATTCTTTAACTTTTTAATAATTTTCTTTGACAAGAAGAAAATTGCAGAACTTGTTGCTAAATGCAAAAAATATTACCAATTCATAGCTTGCAACACTTCTAAACAGACACCATTCCAGAGCAGAAACAACCTTCCATACTGCATCTCTCTCACTTGGCTATTCCTAGCAGCTTCTCCCACAGGCACACATATTTGATGTTGTATTACATGTAATGTCGAGTCTGCAACAAACAGCAACTACCTTAAGACATCTTTCCAAATCCCACATCAGAAAAATTGAAGAGACTATGTATGCATAGGTACATACATATAGGTAAAAGAGCAATACTAATTATCACCATGACAAGAACTTCTTTTCTATCTTCACTATATCTGTAACCTAATGTATCTCGTTTATATTCAAACTAAATCCACACCTACATTTTTCTTTTTATAAATATTTTGCAATATGAAATAAGCATTTTTTCCCAGTGAAATCAAAGGTGAAAACATGTTTTCAGATAGCATAAATTCATATGACATACAGTATTTTTCATTAATTTCACTGATCTTACCAATTTTGGTAGTTTCACTAGAAATATCTGCCACTAAAGAAACTTCTCACATATATTTATTAGTATTTCAATATTTTTTATTTCATAATTCCCTTCCTACTTCAACTATGTGTTTAGCTATCTACCTCACAATTGACACGATTGGGTCTGAAGTCTGCCTGCTTGCAACAGCTGTACTTGGCAATAGGTTACAAAAAATTGCAGAAAACACTGTTTTCAAATTACATTGTTAACAAAAGAAATTTCAAACATTAATTTGATAGTTATTTGGAGCTTGAAAGATACTCTGTATTCACAGAAACAGCATTGCTTAATTTAATGAGTTTTAGTAACAGACGATAAGACTAATCTTGAAAGATTACTCACTTATGCAGAAAGACGATTTCTACGTTGACATCATCCCTATCCTTGTGCAGGAAGTCCTTCAGGAAGTTGGACACACTTTCAAGTGTTATGTGACCACAGACAACTATGTGCCTGTTACAGAAAAATCAGAGTTAATCTTGCAAAGAAGGGAAAACAAGCAAGCAAGAAAGCAGAGAAGGAAATGGTAATTTATTGGCCAAAAAAAGAGTATCAGTTTCTTCTTGATGTTTCTCTAGATCCTATTCCCTGAAGTCAGAGAAGGAAAACATCAGTTCCAAAAGTTACTTTGCAACTGAAAATACATATACACTCTCACCTGCAAAGACTGCTATCAACAAATCATTTGGCCAAGCTGTATTACACATTTAACAATAAGTGGCATCATTTATATATATGTTTATACATTTTATTAATCAGTCCCTTTCAAAGTTCTATTTGTTTATTTTACACATCTTTCTCCATGTCTTTACCTCCTCTACTGAGATTTACTGTTTAAATTTTTGGTTTATGACATAATGAGACAGCAAATCTCCCTAAAATGATTCAATATTTTTCCATGGTTGAAAGCAGACACTTACGCCAATGAAGGCAGTGCAAAGCTTGCCAATTATAGGCCATAAGCAGTAAAAAAGAAATATTTTTTCCTACCATAACTCCTGCAGGGAGAGTACTTTCAATAAGAAATCATTATTTATTGCACCGTTGTAACAGATTGCTTAGAAAATCAAAGTTTGCACAGACGGTGATGTCACAAAGGTTTCTACTGCTCCACATTTCCATTACTAGATGCACCTGACCACATAAGATGGAAGAATAATATATAACTACATACACATTCTTGAATTCTACATCTTAAATTCTGAGAGGCTGAAGAAAAGGCCTAGGAAATTGCACTCCTCCTGATTTAAGGAATCTTTGCTCCTTTATTATTGCAAAGCAAAGTCCAAAAATTTGTGATTAGAATATTCTACAATTTCCTTCATAGAACAAACTCAACTCCAGCTTCCATTACTGTCATAGGTTTAAGACAGATGGTGATTTTGTTATGCCTATTGCTAACACATCCTATAACCACATTGTTCACAGAAGTCAGGAAGAGGGACAAAGTGGTATAGACACAATTCCTGAACTAACAGAAAGTCAGCTTCATTAGAGTCATATAGTCTATGCACAAATGCTACAAACACACAATTTCACAAACTCATTTGGCACTTGAACTGAGAAATGTGAGGCAAAGTAATTCCAAGGGTAAGAAGTAGACCATCCAAGTCTCCCCTACTTCATAATTGTTCTGTGGAAAACTCAGTAACACAGAAACCTCACTGGTTGGAAACAACAAATAACAGGTGGCAGCAATGATTACCTATGTAATGGGCTATATTAGGAGTCTGTTCTTGCTTCATAGTTTGATGCTTGATGAAATGTGGTGAAAAGTGTATAGAACTCATTGGAAAAAGGGATAATTACGCAGAACAAAGAATAAATCAGTAATATGCGTCATGCAGCAAATAATATCACCATCATGTACTGTTACTTTTGCAGTGGTTCAGATGGTGACTAGAAAAGCAAAACACTGTAAACTATCATACCAGTCCAGCACAACTTATGAAAGTGTTCTACGATTACCACTTTTATTAAACAGCATAGCACAGAGTTTTAAAGCTTTATTTAGAAAAATACTCCTTTTGCATGAGTTCTTAGTGACATCATCAGGACTCAGACGGAATTTTAGAAACAGCAGCTGTGAAAAACTTCAATGGTTTCATTCTTTTTAACAGGCAACGAATATATGTTCACGTGAGACTCTGATCATGTTCGTTTGTATTTAACATAGGACTCAACGCCATAAGCTTTTGTTGCTAAACTAACTATCTAGAGTGTCTGCTTTGGCTTCAGTAAGATTTTGCTCAATTTTAACCTAAGTTTTTGGTGCAGTAACTGTACAGAGCACTGAGTTCTTGGACTGTAAACACTTAAAAACACAAAAATCTCTGAGTTAAAGCTTTATGAGATAAGTACAATGTCAGAAAACAAGACATAAAATGTATTAGCTCATCCTTTTTTGGTGCAAGGGGTCCTTAAGAGGCTTCCTCTGGGATCTCTGCAGCTTGGCAGAGTTTACAGCAGCCTCTGTACTGGAGAAGACCATGCCTATATTTCCTCCTTCAGAAGCACTCTTCCTCAGTTTCCCTAGTGGTCAATAACCTGAACAGCCAGCACTGTGTGTGCATATGTTATTGCACTCACATTCACATCAAGATAACCTTCAACACAGAGAAGTAAAATATGATTTCAAGCACTAAGATTCACTCCCCATCAAATGGATGAATCTGCATTCAATATATCAATGTAAATGGAAAACCTCAAGAAAGTTCAGATTCTGAAGAGATGTTTAAACCCTTAGTAGTTCACTAGATCTAAATTCTGAACAGACTGTTTGATACACTACATTACACTAACATATTGGGAAGTTCTAGCTGTCTAGTGGTATTTGGCACTTTTCCTGAGTGTAAACTCATCTAGCACCAAAATCCACAAAGGCCCAAGAAAATGAAAAATGGCTAAAAATATTTATTTGTATTCCTTATACCATCTGTACACATTTTCTAAAATGACTAATTTTAAACTATGGGTATTATTTTCTTCAAATCTTTCCATCCATTATTAAGAAATAGAACTTTCTATTTGCATAGTTGATGCATTATTTTTAATAATAGAAATAATTTCTTCTTGTAGGCAACTGCTTTGCACAGATCCTGTGCAGTTAGCTTTAGCAGGGTCTCTTCCTGAATGCTCTTGAGCTACACTGCATTTCTGTGCAGAAAATTTAGTTCTTTCCTGGGAGACTTCACTTCATATGGGCTCTTTTCTGTCATTAATTAGAGTCTGCATTTTAAAAATATGGGTAAATTGCAGAGAAAAACTACAAGACCGATAAAGTGTGCAACCCAAATTATTGTAGCAGAAATTTTCATAGGATAAGATTACAAGATAGTACAGGTTGGAAAAGACCTCCAGAAGTTATCTGTTCCAAAAGCCTCCTGCTAAAAGCAGATACATTTGGTACAATAATTCAATCCTGTTACGATTCTGATTCAGTAGGGTTTCATAGCAATCTGCTTCAGTGAAAATAAAACATTTGGCTGTCAAATACTTTTGTATTTGAGCATCAGGACTGATTCTTTTGGAAGTGTCTCAAGACATCCGCACCATGGTTTCATTTTAGCACTCTGATTTGGGGCTGGACGTGATCTATTCATCTCTTCTCTGCTGTTCTTATATAGTGCAAGACAGTGTCCCAAGCAGTGATTGCAACAAGATCTCCTGGTTTTCAAACAATATTTTCTGATGATATAGTTGCATTAATTTTTGGTTGAAAACTCCCACAAAAAAATCTCCTTTTAACATAAATTATATTTTTGCTTAGAAGCAGAACAAATTGAAAACTGATTTCCTACTTGCCCGGAGGGAGTTATTAGGTACTTTATTTAAGAAAACTTCGAGAGCTTATGTTGTTCCAATCTGTCCTGTATATGATTTGAAGATTTATAACTTCCTCTGTTTGTTCCAATAACCATTCCCTTTGCAGGTACCACTCATTTTATTCCATGCACCGAAAGTTAAGTAAAGTCAACATACTGGATATCTTTTGCTTTGAGCTAGAGTTGGTTAGTAGGAAAATAGTATATTAATAATTTTCAGTCAACAGAAATGTCTAACCTCTGCATTAAGCTTTTGTTTATGAAAAAACTCAAAAGTAATATAGTACTCAGCTAAATTATTATGATTTCCAACTATTTTTTTTCATTCTTTAAAAACAAAATTTAGAAATTCCCTTACAATACTGAAAACCACGAGTCAGGAATTTAGACATTTTTATTGCTGATAGTTATTCAGGAGGACTAAGGTTTCTGTTAAGTAATAGTTGTTATTGGTATCATGTATCAGAGGTGAAACTGGTTTAACATACCAATGGGAATCCATATTACATGATTGTGATGCTGCAAAAATAATCTTTTACAGAGAATCAAAAGCTTATCAGAAGTCATATTGTTCCAAACCAATAAAGCCAGACTAATCCACTCTCTCCCATATGTACTTATAATTCTCAAAATTAATTACAGTGACCAAATATGAAAAAATAGTACAGTTCTACACAGTTGAAATTGTCCACAGTACCTAATTTTTTTCCACTCAAGTATCAATATAATGATACATTTGCTAAAAACACACTAGCTTATTATAAAGTAAACAAAAATGGTGATAAAAGGTCCAAAGTTATCACAGATAGAAATAGTTTCAGGAAGAAAAAAATTAAATAAGCAAAAGCGAAAAGATCTAGAATTCTGACATGAGATAATTGAGAACATACACTTAATCTATGTAAATAGCACTGTAAATGAAAACAGATCCACTGCGAATAGCATTCTTCAAAAAGGATCTTTGCATGGTTCTTCCTTCAGAGCACATGATACGAAAGGTAACTCTTTTGCCTGTTTATTTTGAAAGAAATTATAGCCATTTTATTGGAACAAGTATAAAGAACTTGAAAAAAACCACTCTAGTCTGTCATAATAAATCAAAGATAATAAATACAAAATTCTGTTCGGCATTCAGTTGAATACACGGTGTTCACTTGTCAAGTAAGTAAATGAAGTGTGACGCATATTGATCTAGACATCTCTATGAAACTATAACATTTATACCAAATACATATGCTCAAATCTCTTTATGGTCTTTCTGCTTAGTGTTCTGACCACGCCTTCATCTATCGACCATCTAAATTCTTCGTATATCAGTAGCATGCTGCTGTGGTTGAAGTAAACAGGTTCTTCTAAAGTCTAACTGGTTTTCCTCAAAAAAAGGATGGGTCTCAGTCACTTTTTCTTATTTAGAAAAGTCAATAAATGTCAGAGACTCTACATACGGTCTTCTCGTTCTTCTATTAGTAGTATGCATTCTTTAAATATACCAGTTTACAATATGTTTCTAGCTGCTTATGTTTTTCATGATTTACCTAACATTACTCAAGATTGTATTAATTCAGTTCAATTAAGTGAAAACTTCATGCATGTGTTTACACCTCTTTCTCCTATTCAGTTAAACAGATG